CAATGGAGTTGGTATGGATTTGGGTTTGTTTTTTGTTGTTGTAGTAGAGGGTTTACCATTGTATAAACAAGGCCACAATTTGTTGAGTTAAGTTTGTTCATTGTTGAGAAAAAGGCAGATACGAAGCACTTCCACTCCCCACTATCTTTGTTCATTTTTTCCATTTGTATTTGCCTCACAATCTTTGTTTCACTCCATATCTAATTGGTCTTACGTCATCCTTATTTTATCCACTTTATATATTTAAGATCAGCCACACAATTCCACTTTGTTTGGGTGTCAACCCCCCATGTTCCCAACTTAGTGGGTGGGATGGAGTACAAAGGTGTTGATTCACAAGTTCCATGTCATTTTGCAAACAATCAGCAATTTTGGCTTAATTAAGAATGCCTTAAATTATAAAATTAACAGGAAACACTCTGTGTTAGCTACCTGCATGCTTTCTACGTTGACCATTCCACTTGACTCCAGTGAGCTGTTTAATGTGAAATCCTTCGTTTAAAAATGAACTCCGTGTCAAGAATAAAGAACCTCTCCTGGAAAGAAGATCCTATGGAGAAATTAAGCTATTGGAAATAGTCAATATATTTACTTATTTTAAGAGTAAGAAAATCAAAGATTCCATTTACAACTTGAAAAGACGTGTACCTCAATGAAGAATGAATAAAACCATTCGTATAAAGTGTTGAACTTGCACTCATCGTGAACTTCACAGTCTGTACAGTAAAGAAGCTTGAGATTTCATTTCGCAAATGAAATGTTAGAAGATGCAATTATGCATGAATGCATACATACAAGTAGGGTTGGGACATGAAAATGCCAACACCCTCAAAGAAGCAATACAATGTTGACAAGTCTGTCTCATTTCATAAATCAAAAAAAGGAAACTGTGTGTTAAGTGGACTACCCACGTTGGGGGAAGATTAAAGAATCCAACTTTATTACCATTTTTCCATCGGCAAGGTTGTGTTGACACTGGATTTCAGTGTCAACGGATGACACTCGCTCATTTGGAACTCTTCCGTTGCTTTGCTCGTAAAATTGATGGTTCCTACTCCCTTAATCCCCTCCCTGCACCCCGGCAGCACCCCGGCCCCTGCACCTCTGCAACCCCACCCCATCCCGACCCTGCACCCCACCACTCCCCTTTTACCCTCCTTCAAATCAAATGCATAATAGCCATTTGAAGGGGTAAAGGGGGGTCTATGGTGGGGGTCGGGGTGGGGTGCTTTGAGGGGTTAGGAGGGGGTTAGGGTGGGTAGGAACCATCAATTTTTCATTTCGAGCACCTGAGGAGTTCCAAATGAGGGAGTCCGTTGACACTAGAATCCATTGTCAATAGAACCTTGCCGTATTTCCATAATTCATAATCTACCCAGATATAAAACTCAGTAATTAATCTGAAAGACGGAGTGCTCGTTTATCTTTTTTTGGGGCAAATCAACGAACACTTCGTGTGCAAAGTCGCAACTGAGAACTGATTGCGAAATTCGCACTGTTTTTAAGTGTTTGCTGGTGATCTAAGGCTGTAAGAGTGAACGCCTTTGATCAAAATACGGACATATGGGGTATACGCATTCAAATAAAAGGGTAAAAGAATGGAAGGGACGAAACCAAATTCAGAGTTCAGAACAGAATCAACAGGCATCACCTTAGCAGAAAGAATCCGTAGTGAAGCTTGGTGTCTCTCTTTTCAAAAACTGTAATAATTCCGTAGTGTTATCTTAAACTAGTGGTGTTCTGTGACACTGGTGACCATGGATGTGCGTACAAATCAAATAAAATGTATTCGATTCTTGATTCGTATTCAAAAAAAAAATGATTTGTATTCGCTATATTCGAATCCGAGTACAAATTGTATTTTAGATTCGAATTATTTTCGAATCCGAATACAAATATTAATAGATTCAATTGTTTATTATTCGATTTATTCGAATATTATAATTTATAAATAAATTTATATATATTCTAATATATTAATATTTTTGTACATATTTTAACATATTTTAATATATTAAATTTTTGTGTACATATAAATTTATATATATTCGAATATTATAATTTATAAATAAATTTATATATATTCTAACATATTTTTACTACATTTTACATTATTATAAAATAATAATTTAATGTCTTTGAGAAATCTATTTTAAGAAAAAAATTACTAATATTTTCAAATTCAAATACTCGGATACGAATTCAAATACGTCAAATATCTATCGAATCAAATGCAAATGTTTTTTAAAATTCGAATTATATACGAATCCGAATTCGAATACATATCATTTTAATCGAATACGAATTGAATAGTGATATATTTGCTTCGATTCGATTCGTATACACCTCTGGCGGTGACACTCCGGTGCCACTGTCATTTTGGAGCACTTCCGGTGCTCCGTTCGTAAAATTGACGGTTCTTACCCTATCCCCGCCCATGCATCCCACCCCAACACCACCGTAAGCCTCCCACTGTCATTGCGTAATAGCCATACGTTTTGTGGCAGGGGGTTAGAGGGGTAAGAACTGTCAATTTTACGAACGGAGCACTAGAAGTGACCTAAAATGACAGTGGCACTGCTAGTGTCACCAAAAGACGGTGTCACTATAACCCCACCGTTCTTAAATATATTTGTAGTTCCTTCAAAAAAAATTGGTCTCTTTAAAGTTTCAATCTCTGTAAAATATCTTAACTTTTCATAGATATAATAAGCAACTCCATGAAAAGCTCGTTAAGTTTGTGTCACTAGTTACATGGACTTCTTAAATTTATCTTCAACATGAGTTATTCCGTTATGAGATGTTCTCCTATAATTGCATGACCTAGTGTCCTTTCTTGGATTTATCATACTTTGGTTAGTAATTTTGTGACTTAGACTATGTGTTATATGGGACGTTAGTGTCATTGTGAAATGGCCGATAACACCCTTATGGGGCGTGACAATGGCGTCAGAGACGACGTGATGGAGGCGTTACGCGCCTGGCTTGACGAAGTCCACGAGTGTTATCCGGTGAAGTAACTGTTTCCAACGGCCATTTGAGCCATTTTTTTAGTTCTAAACGTTAAAAAAATTAGTATAAATAGGGTGTAGAGGATTAAGAACCTCACCCCCAAAAAACTTAATATACATATTTTCGTAAAAAATGAGTTTCGGTGAAGAAAACAATTAGCTATCGTCTTCTGACGAAGATAATACAACTTTTTTGTTCTCGTGTTCCGTTGAAGCTACAGTAAGCACTGTCGAAGCAATTTATAATGAGAATTCAATTCGTTCGGAGAGATTACACATCAGATAATCGGGGCTCTAATGTTGCCAACCACCGCCTGATTAAAGAGTATTTTTCAGAAACTCCAGTTTATAATGACGACCAATTTAAACATCGTTTTTGGATGAGTCAGATGTGTTACTAAAATCGAGATGTCAACAAGTAATTTTTTTATTCCATTGTATTTTTTTATTTTTTTCATTGTATTTTTTTTCTTGTGTCTATCTTTCGTTGTAATTTTTTCTCTCGTATTCTCGTTGTAATTTTATTTTATGTATTGTAGGTATTAAAAAATTTCGTTGTATGAATATAAATGTTTAGACTACTTTATCTACAAAATAAAAAAATAAACAAAAAAAAAATGTGGCCAAGCCCCATCAAGCTCTCTCCCATAACACCCCTTCACCTGATGGGGCTTGATGGGAGAGCCAAACCACATCGCACTTACGTGGTGGTCAAGCTTCCATCAAGCCCGATGATAACACATGACTTTAGTGATTTATCTTAGACGTAATATAGGATATTAAGTCCAATTCAATTTAATAATACCATCACAAATTTCACAATAATTTTTTTTATTTTAATTTTTTTCTTATCTCTATCCTTCAACGCCTATAAAAATCATCCGTTAAGTAGTATGAAGTTTAAAGAGACGGTTCCATAACATTGTCCGTCAATGTCATGAGAGACCCGGAGGCGTTTCGATGCTTCGTTCGTAAAATTGACGGTTCTCACACTGTGTAAATCCCTCATCCCGCCCCGACACAAACACACCCTCTACTTCCGTATCTCACAAGTTTATTTTGATTTTAGAGTAAAATTAGAGTGCCCTGGTCTCACAGGAAGTTTAATTAAGTTTATATTTAACTTAATTTATTTGAATAATAATACTACCTCCGTTTCTAAATAGATTATAATTTTTTTCTCTCTCTACTCACAATAATTTTTGTTTGTTTATGCGATTTCATTAAGTATTTGATAAAATAAAATATTTTTGTCACCTCTTGCTTTGTAGAATTTTTGGCATAGTTTTTTAATATGTAATTTTTATATCTTATTAATATACTAATTTGTAAATAAAATGATAAGATTTTACTACGTAACGCGCAATTTATAATCAAATTGGAACGGAGGGAGTAAAAACTTTTAAAATAAAATTTCTACGGAGTATATTACTCCGTAAAAGACTACTGATTTTTAAAAAAAAGAAATGATGTACTCCTTAACTACAACTTGACCGCCTTAAAAATCTGCAATCACACAATCATCCACAATCATACTTGCATCCCTGACTTGCTGTAATGGAGAACTCGCGCGAACCCGACCACGACCTCCTCACCATTCCCAGCTTCACCAGTAAGAACCCTCTTCAAACCCTTCTCCATAGATCTGAATTTGCGCATGTGTATGGATCAGGCATAAACCCTAACTCAATTCGATTTCTCGTGTGTGAAACTAAGGTTGGTTTTCGTGGAATAGCATTCACGAGGTGGAGAAGCTGTCCCTGGGGGAGTTCTTTGATGGAAGCTCCATCACGAGGTCTCCCAGGATATACAAGGAGTACAGGGACTTTATCATCTCCAAGTTCCGGGAGGATCCGACCCGGAAGCTCACATTCACGGAGGTGCGGAAGTGTCTGGTGGGAGACATCTGCGTGCTCCTGAAAGTCTTCACGTTCCTCGAGAAGTGGGGGCTCATCAATTTCGACCCGAGTAAACCGGAGCCTGTTCGAGCTGGGGCTGAGGAGGAGGAGGAGGTAGAAGGTAGGAAGTGGAGGGTTAAGGCCGAGGAAGGGGTTCCTTATGGGGTCAGAGTTGTTGCCACACCAAATTCAATTAAGCCCGTTGCCCCGCTGCCCCCTGCAATGGGGGTTGCTGCTGTTGGGGTGCAGAATGCTGTCAAGATGCAGCCGCTGGCATCCTACTCCGATGTTTATGGCAAACTGTTGGAGCAACAGAAGGAGAGTTTGACATGTGGCCACTGCAATGAGCCTTGTGCATCTGGGCATTATGAGTGTAACAAGGTGCATTTTGGATCACTTTGCTTTAGCTCATGATATGATGATTATATCACTACTTTCATCCTTTAACTGATAAATGTGTGTGTGTATTTGTATGTGTATGTATGTATTTAGTATTTACAACTTCGAACTGAATTTTAAGTAGAACTACTACAAAGGAATCAAACTCTCTTCTGCATATCCTTTGATGTGATAATTTATCTTGTTTACTCCATAAATGATCTGTTGCTTTAGGAACTGTTCTAACCTTCAAAATCTGTACCTTCAGTAAATGACAGCATTGGGTTGTTTATTGAAGTTTTAATGTAGTCAGAATTTAATAAGTAGGTCAACTGCAATCCCGTTTTTTCTTGTGTCATGTGTGTACGTGCACACACATGGAAATGCTTCAATAGCTTAAATTAGAATGATGCTTACTATGTGAACTGTAAAGTTTTATCTTGTGCTTAGGAGTATGTACAGTTAAGGCAAAGGATGCCGACTGCCGAGTACAACTTGAATAAGCACAAAGTATGTAGTACACTAAGACATATGGAGCAAATAACATTATGCTGTAGAATTTTATTTCTTTGCGTGCTTGTGTGTGCCGATGGGTGTAACTAAACATAATTATAGAAACTGTGCTGTAGAAACTCATTTTACATGATATTTTACATGTTAGGGGAAACAAAATAGTGATGGTGTTGGAATTTATGTCATTGTTCTTTTCTAAGTCGGTTGGTACTGGGATTTATAAAGTGATGGGGTTGATACCCTGGGATGTGGTCAGTGCATTTCATACCAGTCAGATGCTTATCCAGCAGGCTTGATAGGCCCAAAACATTGAAATATCTACCCCATGACAGACCCCCACGAGTGTAGTGGCTAGGATGCTCTTTCAAGCTCTAACACATTATAGATACAAAGTGTAACACTGTAACTATGATAGTAATATATTGATGTATCAACACTCAACAGTAGGTCTCCCTAATTATAGAAACTCTTTCACATTTCAACTTATTGTCCATGATATTTTACATGCTGGTGGAAAAGAAATAGTCATGGTTCTGGAATTTATGTCATTGTTCTTTTGTAAGTTGGTTGGTACTGGGAATTATAAAGTCACGGGGTTGATACCCCGGGATATGGTCAGTGCATTTCATACAGGTCAAATGCTTTTCCATCAGGCTTGATAGGCCCAAAACATTGAAATGTCCACCCCATGATAGACCCTCATGGGTGAAGTGGCTGGGGTGCTCTATCAAGCTCTAACGCGATATAGATACTAAGTGTAACTATGATAGTAATATTCTGATGTGTCAATATTAGGTCTCCACATTTGGGGAGCAGATGTTTTACTCTACACCTCTTTTAAATTGTAATGGAAGCTCTATACCCGAAAGGGAAATTGTCTCC